TGGAGAGGCCTGATATTTATATTTCTCATTGCATGTTATGAGGATCTGAGTCATGCTTTAAAGTTCCTGTTGTCCAAGGTGACATGATCTTGTGAACAGCAGGGTGTCATCCTTCCACCCTTCCAAGAGGGCCTGACCTAGACACTGCCCTGGCCGAGACACTTCATCTGCACCCGACTTCCTCGGGACTTGGGCAAGAGGACACACTCACAAGTGTGTCATTCACACGTGCTGGAAGGGGGAAGTAGCATCAGCCACATAAGGGATAACTTGGTTTTAGGTGCTCGACAAACTGATAACAAATCCATGTGCAGTCATTCACGGCCCCCAGCAACTCAGTCAGACCCTCCCAGGCTCAAAGCTGAGAAGGCAGAGTCTGTACAACCAGGGGACAGGGCCCTGGGGAGCTAAGTCCAGGCCCAGGCCCTGCCCATTTAAGAGGGTCTCAGATTAAGGTCTAGAGCCACCTCCTCTTGGAAGCTTGCCAGATGAGAGAATCCAATCTTCTAGAAGGCCAGAAGCAGCCACCAGTATTACTGAAGACATTTCAGTCTTAGCTGTTTGCTATCAGAGGTGTGGTCGGGGAAACTGCAACCAACTGGCCCCAGAGGGAAGTGCTCTGCGGGGCTGGCACTCTCTGTCTGCCCGCCCCAGCTGGGTGCATTCTCAGCCCTGCTCTGACCCTATGGACTGCAGCATCGGGGGCCGTTAGGCTGGACTACTGGAGGGGTTCAGCCAACCAGAGGTATCAACATGAGGAGGGTGAGAGAGGAGAGAGGGGGGTGTTTCCTCTGGGTCCTGCCTGCACCAGCACCGTGGCTGCATCCACACTCCCCTGTGCTCACCCAGGGCTGGAGCACTCACTCCCTTCCCTTGTCCCTCCTCCCTGTAGCTAACCCCTTCACGCTTGTATTTCCCAGTGGCCCATCTAAGAGGGTTTCTGTTTCCTACTGGAATCCTGATTCTCATGCCTGATGGAAAAAGGGCCCTGGGATTGAATCTTTGCCCCACCACCTCCCTCCTCACTGCCAGGGTCATTATAGACACCTGACTTCACTAGGTACCTCCAAGACTTATGACAGGTCCTCCTACTCCCTCCCTCCAGCCACCTCCCAGGGGAAGAACTAAATGTTGTGCTCCATCTGGCCTGCCCACCATGGTGTAGACCCTGGACTTGAATCCACATCTGGCTGGTGAGCTCAGTGCAATTGGCATTTGGATGCCATTAGAAGAGACAAACCCCCTAGTTCAGCCCAGGTTCCACCACTCCCTATTGCCCAACTGTGGGTCACTGTACACACCTAGGGTATCTGCCTAACCTTGAGAACCCTGAGTTTGGGGCCTCTGAAGAAGGACAAGTGTGGTAGAGAACTTGCCATTTAGCTATTCAGGCATTTTGTAAAAACTGCTTGAAATGTGGTTCAAAATACTTACTTTCACAACAAACTGATTCTCTCTAATTTTAATAATAAACTTGGCTTATAATTGTGTATTTCTGACTCCATAAAACAACTCCTACTTCATGGAAGCAAGACTCCAGCCACCATGGACACAGGAAGTCCACCAAGTCCTGGCTCTCACTCCGGCTTGTTCCTGGAAATGTCACCCACTTTTGTGATGTTAACATCAGCCTGCCAATGTTATGGGCAGACAGGCCCTGGCCTCCAGCTGTAACAATATCATCATGCGCGCTAATTCTTTCACCCACACATGGATGTGCACTGACCACTCCGCATGAAACGGTAGAGACAACATGTGGCCTCCTTTTCAGAGAGACACAATTACGTGTGGAAACGGCTAAACACACCCTGTTCAGGCTCTAGGAAACCTTATGGGGCATTTGAGACCCAGGAGGCCATTAGCCTCTACAAGCGCCAGCAAATAAATATCCAAGGCCAGACAGAGCGAAGGCCTTGTCAAAGTCATGGAAGTGAAGGTCACACGTTGGTCCATCTTCCAAGATTCTTTCATAAAGTTTTGTTAGTTTTACTCTAATAGTGCAAAAACTAAATTACTCCTGGCTTGAACTATGTAGATAAACAAGATCTTTCCAAAAGTATCAATACTTGGGTTATTTTGAAAGGATTCAGCACCAGATTTGAGACTATCTGTCCAACCTATATGCAAAAAAGATGAATTTCTGAGCATCCATATGTACCAAACATATACACACACACACACACATGCATGCATGCATGTATACACACACACATACATTATTTATCATTGTGCATATACCTGCCATATCCCCATATGATCAGTGTACTCCTGTGTGTGTGTGAGAGAGACAGAGAGAGAGAGAGAGAGAGAGAGAGATCAGGGCTTGAACCAAAGATCATTTTCAGAAAACAGAACCTGTACCCCTTGTTTAGGTGAGAGCACAGAGGCATACCGTCCGAGTGCCTAAGAGTAGAATGATACAGTTGCTTCTGATTTATCCTAATTAACAGTGGAATCCATTTCTTGGTCCCATTGATTCATGATTTGAAGCCTATGATTAAATCTGGACCATGAGAAGAGCTATTTGGGTTACTAAGACCCAAAGCCCCTCTTCCTCTTCAACAGGAAAGACATATACATAAAATTGTATAGAATCCATAGCAAATGACCCCACTGTCCATTTCTCTTGGCTTTCCTAAACCAGATAAATGGGAGTAACAGAATTTCTCTTTATGTGTGGATAAACCCCCTTACNTCCATAGCAAATGACCCCACTGTCCATTTCTCTTGGCTTTCCTAAACCAGATAAATGGGAGTAACAGAATTTCTCTTTATATGCAGATAAACCCCCTTATAAAGTAGATACACACTGCTGCCATTTTTTTCCTGTGACATAAAAATAATGCTTATATTGTATTTTTAGAAAGGTAACTCTAAAACACCATCCTTTTGAAATGGGAGAATTAGTCTATTGGCTTCTCCAGAAAACGGCCATCATAAATTAACAAGACACACAAGATAAAATCAGACACAAAAAAAGAAAAAAATTAAAGCATATCCAGCAGGATTTTCCTCTTTTCTTTTGACACTCAGGCAGCATCCACTGGTCCTGGGGTTTTCTGCTCTGGCCTCTGAGATGCTGACAGGGTTCCCGAAAATAATCCCAGTCTCCTCTTTCCTATTACATTGTTTGTTTACTCCCCCCAGTAATCCACTGAGCCAGTCACTGAGAGGTTAATGAAAACACAACTTTATTCACAGAGGCTGAGACTTTGGGATAACAAAATAGCCAATGGCAGCCCTTCTACCACATTTTAAATTAATCACAGTGAGCCTAGATCTCAACAACGAAACCTCATCAAAATTCTTAAAGCCGAGGACACTCTGCAGCTCACTGCAGTGTTCCCACCGGCCTGGGCCGAATGCCGTCAGGGAAACATTTGTGAGTAAGTAGCACATGGCTTTAAGGATGAACCCTCAGAGAGTCAACGCTGTGCCCACTAATTATCAAATTGTTTTGCTTGTCCTGCATGTCCTTTCCAGCATATTAGCCAATAGGCTCTCTTAAAGTTTGTGTTCCTGTTTATATAAGTCCTGGAAACTGTTTAAAAGTTATTTTGAAGGCCTGTCTCAGCCCACCTCCAGAACCCATGACTTATTGTGCCTTTCTCACGTCGGATAAAATTAAAGTAACTTGGAGGCTCAGGAAACCAAGTTTCAGAACCCCCTAGACAACCCAGAGGAGATACCATCGAGGTTAGATGCATTTTCTGAAAGTTCCAAGCCAAACTGTGAAAATCTCAATTTTCTTAACCAGATCTTTGCTGCAGACCCCCGCTTGGAGACCCACCCACCCCTCCCACCAGACTTCTAGTCACCTCCATAATGGGTTTATTTAGCTGCAGGCTCCCTGTCTGCTGGGTAGGGGTTGGAGGGAGGAATGGGGTCAGGTTGCAGGCTGGGATGCCGTCGGCTGGGAATGTCTGAAAAAATCCTCCCTCCCTGCCTTCTGTTCTTTGGGGTCCAGAGAGTGGCCTCCAGCAGACACCAGCAGATTCCCTTACTTCCCCGCCCCTAACACACCTCTCCCTCCGCCTGCCTGCTTTCCATGGGTTTGTTTCACCAGACTTTTTTGATGAGTAGTAGTCTTTCACTACACAACTCTAGAAGCGTGAAAACAACCCAAGCTAGACCTTGGAAAAAACAACACCACGGAAATAGAAAATCTTATGTTGTCTAGGCCATCTTCTCTCCCCTTTACATACTTCCGGTCTCCCCTGAAAACTCTGATCCCTTAAAAACAAAAGCAAAGAGACAGGCCCCCTGACCGCTATTGCTGGTAACCTGTGTTGGAGAGCATGGGTACTGACTAAATGACTAATGCTAGATTATATAGAGTGCACTTGCTTAGCAGTTGTTAATATAAATGCTTTCACAGGGCAATCGTTATAGTAAAAACAGTCAAGCACTTAGTCAAAGAAGAGAACATGTTCCTTTTACTGTCTAGAAAGGAAAAAAAAAATCTCTATTTCAAAATAAAAATGTGGTATCTCCTCTTCCAGCTGGACATTGGTTGTGACTGCTCACCAGGCCTTAGATCTGCCCAAGAGCCTGAAGGACAGGGTCACCCTCGGCGTCCCCACAACTGGACTTCAGTGACAATCCCAGCTGTGAACACCCATCTCCCAGGAAGCCCAGGCCTGAGTCACAGCGACCACAGAGCTGGCCACCCTGAGCCCCGTCGCTCTGATGGAAACGACCCCACTCCTCCTCTCCTTCCTGCCTTCGGGTTGTCTGGGCTTCGCGTTCCCCAGACACGCAGGATGTGCGGTGGGTGGCTGAGGATCACACCTTTAAACTGACCTAAGGTCAAGGAATTCTGCTCCGGCGCTAGGAGGTCCAACTCCCAGCCGGGCAGGATCTTTTAAATATCCGGAGCCGTGGGGGTTCTGAGAAGGCCCCCTCCAGGAAGCCCTCCACCCCCACCTGCGCGCAGAAGTTGGAAACACTTCCCAAGATCCACACCTCGGGCCCGAGGAAAATACTTTTTTTTTTTTCTTTCTTTCTTTCTTTCCTTAAGTGACTCCTTCCCCCAGCGGTGGGAGCCATGGTGACTCTCAAGAAGCTCAGACCTGGGGGCAGGGGGAAGACCGGCTCCACCGTTGGCTTTACTGGAAGTGAAGCATGGTGTCCGGGAGCTGCAGAGGGAAGTAGGAGAGGAAAGGGATCCCGAGCTGGTAAAAGCCGCCCTGGACGTGCGGGTCCAGCATGAGGGAAGCGTTGAAAGGCGCACGGAGACTCGCGGAGGTGGCCAGGAGCGAGGTGCCCAAACAGCCGCCGGGCTCCTGCTTGGCGAGTCCCAGGAGCTCGGCCGCTGCCGCCGGCTTCTGACCCTGCCGTCCCGCCAGGATGCTCTCTATGCTGAAGCTCTTGGACTTGTCGGAGCTCTTCGGGGAGCTGCGGCAGGCGGGGCGCGGAGGGGTCCCCGGGCCGTCCACCGTGCGCGCTTG